TCCTTATTTCCTCATTCACCATCTCATTTCGATGTTCTGCTACACCGACACAGTTCTTATTCCAGCAGGACGAGGTATCCATTGGTTTGTCCCGGTTTAGAAGTCATGACTCCATAAAAACTTCACTATCCTCAGGACAGGAACCACGAGGTCTACACGTGTTCACTCGGAGCAAGGCGACTTATTTCACTTCACGCATTCTCTTAACTTAGTGTTATTGTCACTGATTACATTACAATTCACAAGACGATTTAATGTCTCATAATTATTATGCACATTAGAGGTCACTCCATTAAGATCTGAGACCGATGAGTGATGATTAAATCACGGGTATTTTCCCCTGGACACACTCCATGGCGTCGCACCAGTCGCCACCAGTCCTACCATTATTCACTAATTTTACCACTTTATTACGGTGGTCCCGTAAATCACGTTCCCTCACTCTTCACCAGGAACAGTTACGACACTTCCTATTATGAAGTGAGGCCGCCGTGAACGGCAATTTCCTGGTCCCATGTTTTCCCAGCCTCTTAACTCCATTCCAAACACTCCCGCTCCCTGATTCCCCGTCTCGACCTCACCCTCCGCACATCCGCGCAGGGAACCCAGTTGGTTCTATTCCATTTTCAAATACATTTTTGACCCATATCGACACATTAAACACCTATTCGGCACTATAGCTTCGGAAGATTAAAATATTTTCCACACTTTCTTTTATCATATGAATGAAGTCTGATCATAATACTGTGTTTACTACCTTGTTTTCCTAGCAAACATGTTTCTTTGATTTCATTGTTTTGCATGATAACTTTTACGTGGTCCTGTATTATCCTAATAGCAGTTTCTTTGCACTGTTCTTGGGTTATTTCACTAGGAATGCATGGACTGTTTATTATTACTGCATCAGACAGCTTATCTTGTTCAGTTTTGTCGTCTTGGAAATCAAGGTATTCATTCAGTGGAGTGTGCATGTTCTGATTCCAGTCCTTGGTTGCTTCTTCAACCTTCATATTTAGAGTTGTTATTTGGTCAGTGTGACTGGCTATAGCTGTTTTCAGAATGCAACAGGCATCTTCTTTCCAGATCCACACCCAGTTGCTGTTAGGGAAGCTGGTGGTGGAACAGGTCTTGGTTATATTGTTTACTTAGTTAGGCAGTGTTAACCATGATGTACTGTGTTGACTTGTCTAGCTCTTAGATTTTTTCAGAGGCATGAAGAGGTTATAGGAGATCCAAGCTGTAGTGCTAAGGTCAAAAATTTTGGCAGGTGGTGTATTTAAAGCCACAAAAAATTGTGTGTACTAGTATGTTGAACATGTAGTCATCACCTGCATACTAGTATGTTGAACACATAGTCATCACCTGAATACATGTACTAGTATGTTGAACACATAGTCATCACCTGAATACATGTACTAGTATGTTGAACACATAGTCATCACCTGAATACTAGTATGTTGAACACATAGTCATCACCTGCATACTAGTATGTTGAACATGTAGTCATCACCTGCATACTAGTATGTTGAACACATACTCATCACCTGCATACTAGTATGTTGAACACATAGTCATCACCTGAATACATGTACTAGTATGTTGAACATGTAGTCATCACCTGAATACTAGTATGTTGAACACATAGTCATCACCTGAATACTAGTATGTTGAACACATAGTCATTACCTGCATACTAGTATGTTGAACATGTAGTCATCACCTTCTTACTAGTATGTTGAACTTGTAGTTGTCACCTGCATACTAGTATGTGGAACATGTAGTCATCACCTTCGTACTAGTATGTTGAACATGTAGTCATCACCTGTATACTAGTATGCTGGACACACAGTCCATACCTTAGTAAAGTGGTCGCTCGGTTATTGGCCATTCCGCTTATCGGCCAACTTGGTTATCAGGCAGTTTTTCGGCTTCCGGTTATCAGCTGTTATTTCGCTTATCGGCCATATGGGACGCATCAACCCACTGCTGCCAGCTGCTCATGCGTCAGTCTGGCTGTGTCTCTGAGTGAGGAAGTTTCTGCTCATTCATCCAAACATTTTGCTGTAATCCATTGTTTTTGGTGGTTATTTATTAAGTGCAACTGCAAAATAAGTAACCATGGCCTCAAAGAAAGTACCTAGTAAAGTTCCTTTGGCAAAGAAAGTGAGAAACATGATGGAATTTAAGAAAGAAATTGTAGCAAAGTACATGAGTGGTGGTGGGAGAGGGTGGTAGTGATAATGGTAGAGGGTGGTAGTGATGGTGGTAGAGGGTGGTAATGGTTGTGATGGTGGTAGTAGGTGGTAGTGGTTGTGATGATGGTAGAGGGTGGTAGTGGTTGTGATGGTGGTAGTGATGGTGGTAGTGGTTGTGATGGTGGTAGAGGGTGATAGTGATGGTGGTAGAGGGTACAGCTGTAAGACCTTCATCTGGAACAGTAATAGACCACAGCTGAGGAAATTGCTTCAGAGGAGGAAGAAGAGAGAGGTGAGACTGTACATTCTTCAGTGATTAAGGACATGTGTACAAAGTGGAGTGAGTTGCAGGGGTACAGTGACTCTCAAGCCTCTCTCCTCCCTATCTTCCATAAGCCAAGAAGAGTTTTCAATATAGGTATGTAATGCTGATTTAATTGTTCATGTATTTATTTTATTTAGTTCTCATCTTTTGTGTATGTAAAACTATAATTAATCTTTAAAAAAATTATTTTTTGGTGAATATTTTTGGGTGCGTGGAATGGATTAATTGTATTTACATTAATTCTTATGGGAAATATTAATTTGGTTTTTGGCCATTTCGGTTTTAGGCCGAGTGTCTGGAACGGATTATGACCGATAACTGAGGGTCCACTGTACAATGGAACCTCTGTCCTCGAACAGCTCCCTACTCGAACAATTCGGTATTCAAATGCTTTGTCTGTTTAAAAAAATCGCTTGGTAGTCGACTGTTTGCTTGGCACTCAACCAAACAAATATAACCTGCCAGAACTTTGCTGTAAACTGTTTTGTGTTTCTTTGCATTTTTTGATGTTTTTTATATTATTTGTATAAATAAGTCACCATGGGGCCTAAGAAGATTAGTGATAACAGCCAACAAAAAAGATATTTGGTTGGGAAAAATTCGTTCGGTACTAAAACAGATCGGCACTCAAACAGCCTTCTGGAATGAATTAAGTTCAAGTACCAAGGTTCCACCATACTAGTATGCTGGACACAGTTAAAGGATTAATATTAAACCCTTCCAAAATATCAGTTAGAAGAGCCAAGTTCACATTGTAAAGTAGCTCTAGCACATTTTTTATACATGTTGAGTCCCTAGGTTCAGTCCTATGATATATTTTTCTTGGCTACAGAGTGTTAATGCCAATGAGAAAAGTTTGTATGTTTTTAGTGGAAGAATTGTAAAATCACATGTTTAGATGATTTTATTTTAATTGGCACTATAACAGAAAGGTCACTAATGTTCTATAAGTTCTTATTATGAATCTCTTAAAACTGTACAATAAATTGTTTTCCTAATTTCATGATTTAGGAAGCATGTGATGAAGTTTCAAGTTCAAATGGTGTGTGTGGATCAAGCAGGAAAAAGTTTCGACCAGATTCAACACCGGTATGTTATTATTTCTTGTTTTGTTTAGCAAGTAAATGTGAATGAACAGGAATTATTGCAGTGCAACATAAGAGGTGATGCAGATATTAGGTCCAAGTACTTTGCTGTACTTCAACTAATGTTAATGATTACGTCTTACGTTGTGATAAGTAATTGTGATGCAGTATATAATATCTCAAAACAAGTTCCTAGTTTCTCCTGTATACTAGAATTAGTTCTAGTAAATGCATATAATAGATTCAGAATAAAAAGACTCATTTAACAGATACAGTGGTCCCTTGAGTCATGATATTAATCCATTCAAGAAGACCTATCATACTTCAAAACTGTTGTAACTCAAACCCCAAGATACATGATGTTATTCTCATTTGTTCCATGACTCCAGAGTACCCAACCTGCCCTTGGATACTTTTTGTTGTTTAAACACACCTTTGTAATAAATACCGACAAGTTGGTTTAGAAAGACAGGTAAGCAAACACTATGACATATTTATTAGAAAACGTTTTGGTCCTGGGACCTTGATCACTTCTAACATACAGAGGTAGAAAGACATTATATATATAGGTGGAGAGTGAGGTGAGAGTGACGCATGGTGACCTGAAGAATGTCGTGTTGGGATGAGGATGGGTAGACGATGAAATCATATGACTCCTGTGTTGTCGGGATGGTGGTGCTTAAGTATCATGTATGCTAATGTTTTTGAAATTTTGTGGTTTCCAGTGTTACGTTCTATATTGTTGGTGACGGCGATTAGTGAGGCTTCTAGGCACCATCGGCATCTGAGGTCTGGTTCAGTGAGAACGAGTTGTGCCTCATTCCAGCTCATCAGATGCCCCGTGGAGTCTCTGTGGAGGACACAGGCGTACCTTACATTGTCTCTGTTAGAGGCATTTTGATGCTCATTTAGGCGGACTACAAGATCTCGGCCTGTCTCGCCTAAATATTTCTTGGGACAGAATCCACAGGGGATAGTGTAGACGCCTGCTGTAGAAGTTAGAGGTGTGGGGCTGCGTTTCGTAGTGAGGTATTTGATAGATGATGTGTTTATGGTGGAAACGTTGATGTTACTCATAGCAAGTGCCCGGCGAGTATTCGTGGCAATATCACCACATGGGAGCACTATGAACTGCTTAGGGGGCTGTTCCATGGGCGGTTTGTTGAGGATAGCTTGTGCCTTGAGTCTGCAATCTTGGATGAAGAAAGATGGGAACTGAAGACATGTAAAGGCTTGTGTTATGTAAATACATTCTTCTTCAAGAAAACGAGGGCTGGAGATGCGAAGAGCTCTCAAGAAGAAGCCAATGAGGACTCCTCTTTTAGTGCGGGTGTCTTGGTGTGAATAAAAGTGTATAAGATCGTCCTTGATGGTAGGTTTTCTATACACTTTGAAGAGAAGTTTGTCACTGTCGGGAGATCTGCACAGGAGTATATCGAGGAAAGGAAGTTTGCCATCGTTTTCGAGTTCAAGTGTAAACTTTATTGATGGTTCGGCTGCATTGATCTTGTTGAGAAGGGCTTGGATATTGAGACGTCTCGGATAGAAAACCAATGTATCATCAACATATCTTAGACAGGTAACGGTGTTGGGAATGAGGTTGCTGAATTTCTCTGTCTCTAGGTTTTCCATGAAGAGGTTGGCAAACACAGCACTGAGCGGGCTGCCCATTGCCATCCCAAAGCACTGTTTGTAACACTTGTCCTGATACTTGAAGAAGTTGAAATTAACACAAAGATCCACTAGACTGATGAAATCTAGAAGAGGTAAAGGGAGGTCGTGGTTTTCAGTGAGCCTCTGTCTCAGAATGTTGATCGCAGCCTCAGTAGGAACGTTGGTAAAGAGGGCTGTGACATTGAAGGAAGCCATGCTTTTGTTTTTAACATTCAGGTTGGAAATTTGGGAGACAAGGTCACCTGAGTGTTTGAGGTGGGCTTGACTGATGGTGCCCAGAAGCGCTGAAAGGTATTTGGCAAGATGGCCGGCTAGTCTGTGTGGTGCGCTCCCTATGCCTGAAGTGATAGGCTGTAGTGGGATGCCAGGCTTGTGTGTCTTAGGAAAGCCATACAGGCGTGCTGGTTTCGGTTGACCTGGTAAAAGTTTAAGTAGTTTTTTGCCTTGTTCTGATTTTCGTAAGATGCTATGAGCCTTTTGAAGAAAAGTCTGGGTACTTTGAAGTAGCACTGATTCTGATACAGGCTGGTATGTGTTGGCATCATTGAGAAGATTTAAAACTTTATTGTTGTAGTCGACAGTGTCAAGTAACACCACACCTCCTCCTTTGTCAGCAGTTGTAATGACGATTTCATCATTGTTATTACAACTTCTACAGCAGGCGTCTACACTATCCCCTGTGGATTCTGTCCCAAGAAATATGTAGGCGAGACAGACAGATTTTGCAGTCCGCCTGAATGAGCATCGAAATGCCTCTAACAGAGATGATGTAAGGTACGCCTGTGTCCTCCACAGAGACTCCACGGTGCATTTGATGAACTGGAATGAGCCACAACTCGTTCTCACCGAACCAGACCTCAGATGCCGATGGTGCCTAGAAGCCTCACTAATCGCCGTTACCGGCACTATAGAACATAACACTGGAAACCACAAAATTTCAAAAACATTAGCATACGTGATACTTAAGCACCACCATCCCAACAACACAGGAGTCACATGATTTCGTTGTCTACCTGTCCTCATCTCAACATGACATTCTTCAGGTCACCATGCGTCACTCACACCTCACTCTCCGCCTATATATATAATGTCTTTCTACCTCTGTATGTTGGAAGTGATCAAGGTGCCAGGACCGAAACGTTTTCTAATAAATATGTCATAGTGTTTGCTTACATGTCTTTCTAAACCAAACACACTGATGTTTACTGAGTGGTAAATTCACTGGTGTTTTCTGAGTGGTAAACACACTGGTGTTTTGTACAGTCACATATGTGTAGTGTAAACTGGGTGTAAATAGTAGTCACAACATTTACCTGTCATCTTCACTGTTTATGAGATGGAACCAGCAATCCTGTCAGTGTAAAGCATTAAACTGGTTTCTGTTTCACACTCATATTGTAGGATGGTAATACCTGCCTAATTGGCTGCTATCTGCCCAACCTGCTATCTATTTTAAAAATAATTGTTATACAACTGCTAAGTCATATTGTAGCTTACAATTTTTCTAAAGTTTGTTTTCTAACTCATACTTGGTACCATATATAACTTTCATAAATAATTAATTCATTGGGTGTTCTACTCAATGAATTAATTATTTATGTAAGCTGTAACAGAGATGTACTCTACAGAAGTGTTTGAGAGCATCACCTGCTGAGATGCGAATATCAAGCGCGAGTGAAAGTGAAGCCTCAGTGAAAACTGAACCAGTGGAGGATGCATGTATAATCAGCAGTAGAGAAGACAGGCTAGGCCAGGTGAGCTTCTCTGTACTAACATATTTTGTTAGTTTTTATTTTTTAACTTAGTAACCCCTGAAAATTTGAGACTGTTGTTGCACATTTCACTAAAATGGTGCCTAAGTAGGCAGGCATGAGTTAATATTTATTTATGGGCTATGGGTTTATATTTTATCTCAGCTCATTTCAGTGTTAGACCCTGTGTAAAAGGAGCAGGGCAGCATGGGTGTTTTGCTCCTCATCTTCACACTGTATAAAGTTTGCTACATCTTCTGGAATAGCCAAACAACAAAATTTCTCGCAATAAAATACTGTATATAATGACCTACAATATAAAAACTGTCATACAAACTGGGTGAGTAGGAGGGCAGGTTGATGGGCGAGTGTAAGTCAGAGGAGCTGTCAAGCTCCACCAGTATCTACACTAAATTTAAGATCATAGTCTGTGAGTTTGTCCTTGCTTCTACAGATATCATACACTGTTTCTTTACACCATATTCCTCACACACCCATGCCACTGAGATGCTAGACTCAACCTTCTTTATTAACTCAAGATTTTCCTTAACACTGGGAACCACATGTTTTCTCTTGGTGCCTTCACTTGCTCTAGAAGCCATTGTTAATTACACTTTATATGTTAGTTAAGTCACAAAAAATGCTCTAAATCTAGGGAAAATCAAAGGCTGAGTGACAAGTGTATGTGTGAGTTAGCACCAACAATAAACTGATGTGGGTGACCTACAGCTCAGGAAATAATGAAGAACAAACAGGTCCTGGACATGGCCGCTCTGGCCTGTACCAGACAAGCATTAAGAGTTAGCGAACTTAGCCCAGTACTTCAGAAGACAACTGGACGCTATCGCTGTGGATGAAGTGTGGAATTACAGAGCATTTGTCTGTCGAATTTTTTGTCTGAAATTACCAAAATCCATTGAGAGATTTTACACTACCAGACCACCAATTAACATGATATACTCTAACCTCTCCTCGCTTAACAATGGAGTTCCACTCCTAAGACCACATTGGTAAATGAATTCATCGCTAAGCAAGGAGCATACTACGTATAATGGTAGTGGGTTTGTGTCAACCATCTTTGATATTGTTTTAAGGTCACTTTTGCATCATTTATAACATTTCTGGTATATTTTTAAATGTTTATACAGTAGTGTACTGTATATTGTAATAAACAGAATATAGGAAATCAGCTTTAATATACATTATTTTGGTATACATACTGGTCAGAGAGCCCTTCATAAGTCTGAGTCGTCGGTAAATGAGTATGTTGCTAAATGAGGAGAGGCTGCACTTTGTAAAAAAGATATTTACAGCTTGTCACAATTTTTGTTGAAGTTTAGCTTAAATCGATACATTAACTATATTTTGAACCTTAAGTGTATTAGATGAAAATGTAACTAATATATATTTTCTTTATTACCTCAGGTAAGTATCAAGGATGAGCTTATGTACAAGGAAGAAGTATTTGTTGCTGAATTTGCAGAAAAAGATACGAATAAAGAAGACAGTTTTACTGATCTCGACAGTGATCAAATACCAGAGCCATCACCAGTATTATTGGATGATAGGACAAATGTAGCACCAGAGAATATCAAGGAATCTTCAGTTGTTTCCAGATCACGCTCACAGAAATCATCACGATTAATAAAACCCAAAATAATGGGTGGTTTACAAGCACAGACTTGTGAAGGACTCTTGACAAATCAAGAATGTGTCAGTGATGTTGTACAAGAGGCACATGTTACACAGTAAGTAATTTTTCATATATAAAGTTACCTGTTAACATTGCATAAACTAGACTTGCTTTTGTTCTTGTGCAGTCCAAGAAAAGTGTTACCCCATCCCATAACCCCAATTCCTATAAATCCCAACCCAGGCAAAAAAAAAAAAAAAAAAGGTAAAGGAAACAGCATAAGTATGTAATGTGCAGAGATCTTACAATAATTTATACCTATAGTTGAACTATCTGAAAAATTCCAAGTACTATAGTACAGCACTCAAAAGATGTAGAGAAAGTGTTCCTCAACACCCTTAAGGAATGTTTCTTGATTCAGGTGAAGGGTTCATGATCTGTGGAATTGGAGCTACCCTCCTTTTAGTTTAATAAAATCTGATTACTCCCCATTTCCCCAGGCACTGCATGGCTCCTGTGGATTTAGTATTTCTTCATGACAATAATAACAGTGTGAGCTAGCTCTGAATCCAGTCAAACACTATAAGCTGAATCACTTGGTGAAACTTGGTGGGTGATTTCTGTAGAGATTTGTGACTTACAGATTTCAGTGTTGAGAGCACCATGGAAACAGATTATGGGGAGCTAGATGGTTGGATGTTTTTTTTGTTATATCGCAGAAACCAGTGGACTGATTTTAATGAAATTTGTATAAGTTCTGATATGTTAGGTTATGTGCATTGTAAAAATATTAAATGCTTAAATCATCTAAGTTTGATTTTAATTTGTTGTATTTATATAAAAATTATTACCTAAGGAAAAGCATAAAAGATATGTTTTGTAGGTTTAAATCATATAGGTCTCTAATTTTTCACCTTTATAGGCCTTTTTTTTTTTTAACACATTGGCTGTTTCCCAGCAAGGCAAGTTGACCTGAAAAAGAAGAATCACTTCATCATCATTCACTCCATCACTGTCTGGCCAGAGGCATACCTACACCACAATTAAAAACTACAGCATATCTCCACCCCTCCTTCAGAGCGCAGGCACTGTACTACTCACCTCCAGGACTCGAGTCCGGCTTGCCGGTTTCCCTGAATCTCTTCATAAATGTTACTTTGCTCATACTTCAGCAGCATATCAAGTCATAAAAAACCATCTGCCTCCACTCACGCCTGTTTAACATGCTCACACACTCTTGCTAGAAGTTCAAACCCCTCACATGCAAAACCTTTACCCCCTCCCTCCAACTTTTCCTAGGATGACCCCTATACAGTGGACCCCCGCATAGCGAACTTAATCCGTGCAAGAGGGCTGGTCGTTATGCGAAATGTTCGCTATGCGAATTAATTTTCCCCATAAGAAATAATGGAAATAAAATTAATCCGTGCAAGACACCCAAAAGTATGAAAAAAAAATTTTTTTACCACAAAAAAATGTTAATTTTAGTACACACAAACTGAAAAAGGCATGCACAATTACATGACACTTACTTTTATTGAAGATCTGGTGATGATTGATGGGATGGGAGGAGGGGAGAGAGAGTGTTAGTGTTTAGAAGGGGAATCCCCTTCCATTAGGACTTGAGGTAGCAAGTCCTTTTCTGGGGTTACTTCCCTTCTTCTTTTAATGCCACTAGGACCAGCTTCAGAGTCACTGGACTTCTTTCGCACAACATATCTGTCCATAGTGGCCTGTACCTCTCGTTCCTTTATGATTTGTCTAAAGTGGTTCACAACAGTGTCATTGTAACAGTCACCAGCACGGCTTGCAATAGCTGTGTGAGGGTGATTTTCATCAAAAAAGGTTTGCACTTCAAGCCATTTTGTACACATTTCCTTAATCTTTGAAGTAGGCAATTCCTTCAATTTCTCTCTCCCCTCCTTTGAACCAGTTTCCCCAGGTCTGGCCTCTTGCTCTTGAAGTTGATCTATCAGCTCATCAGTGGTTAGTTCTTCATTGTCCTCCTCCACCAACTCTTCCACATCCTCCCCACTAACCTCCAACCCCAAGGACTTCCCCAATTCCACAATTGATTCCTCAACTGGTATACTACTCCTCTCAGGGTTAGCCTCAAACCCTTCAAAATCCCTTTTGTCTACACATTCTGGCCACAGTTTCTTCCAAGCAGAGTTCAAGGTTCTCTTAGTCACTCCCTCCCAAGCCTTACCTATAAGGTTTACACAATTGAGGATATTAAAGTGATCCTTCCAAAACTCTTTTAGAGTCAATCGAGTGTCTGTGGTCACTTCAAAGCACTTTTGAAACAGAGCTTTTGTGTACAGTTTCTTGAAGTTGGAAATGACCTGCTGGTCCATGGGCTGCAGGAGAGGAGTGGTATTAGGAGGCAAAAACTTCACCTTAATGAAGCTCATGTCCCCATAAAGTCGCTCTGCCACGTCTGTAGGATGACCAGGGGCATTGTCTAACACCAGGAGGCACTTAAGGTCTAATTTCTTTTCAGTTAGGTAATCTTTCACATTGGGGGCAAATGCATGGTGTAACCAGTTATAGAAAAATTCCCTAGTGACCCATGCCTTACTGTTTGCCCTCCACAGCACACACAAATTATCCTTGAGGACATTCTTTTGCCTGAACGCTCTGGGAGTTTCAGAGTGATACACTAATAAAGGCTTAACTTTGCAATCACCACTAGCATTGGCACACATCAACAAAGTAAGCCTGTCTTTCATAGGCTTATGTCCTGGGAGTGCCTTTTCCTCCTGAGTAATGTAGGTCCTGCTGGCATTTTCTTCCAGAACAGGCCTGTTTCATCACAATTAAACACTTGTTCAGGTTCCAGTCCTTCAGTTTCTATGTACTCCTTGAATTCATGCACATATTTTTCAGCCGCTTTGTGGTCCGAACTGGCAGCCTCACCATGCCGTATCACACTATGGATGCCACTACGCTTCTTAAATCTCTCAAACCAAACCTTTGCTGGCCTTAAATTCACTCACATCATCACTAGTTGCAGGCATTTTTTTAATTAAATCGTCATGCAACTTCCTAGCCTTTTCACATATGATCGCTTGAGAGACGCTATCTCCTGCTAGCTGTTTTTCAATTTATCCACACCAATAAGAGTCTCTCAACATCTTCCATCACTTGCGATCTTTGTTTCGAAAACACAGTTTAACCTTTGGCAACAACAGCTTCCTTGATTGCCGTTTTCTTGCCCACAATAGAAGCGATGGTTGATTTTGGTTTCTTGTACAACCTGACCAGGTCGGTGATACGTACTCCACTTTCATACTTATCAATGGTCTCTTTCTTCATTTCAATGGGTATTCTTACCCTTTGAGGTGTAGGGTTGGCACTAGAAGCTTTCTTGGGGCCCATGGTCACTTATTTTCCACAAACAGCACCGAAAACACTGTAATAATACGAAATATTCCGAGTGTATGCTTGAATGTTACCGCGGAGGCTGGCTGGTAAACAATGGGATGGGCGGCACATGTGAGGCTGGCTGAGGGCACAGATTGGACGCGTCTCGGACGAAGTTCGCTGAGCGGGTTTTTGTCCACTATGCGGGGCAAAATTTTAGCGAACAAAGCGTTCGCTATGCGGATTGTTCGCTATGCAAGGCGTTCGCTATGCGGGGGTCCACTGTATTCCTCCTTCCTTCCTCTCCAGATTTATGCATTCTCCAAGTCATTCTGTCTCTTTCCATCCCCTCTAAATGTCTGAACCACCTCAACAACCCCTCCTTAGCCCTCTGGAGAAACCTCCACATCTAATCTCCAGGCTACAAATTCTCTGCATAACATTCACACCACACATTGCCCTCAGACACAACATCTCCACTGCCTCCAGCTTTCTCCTTGTGGCAACATTCACCACCTATGCTTCACACTCACATGAGAGTATTGGTACCACTATACTCGTACATTCCCATCGTTGGGATTTGCTATACTTATTGCATTCTCTATCTCCACAAACTCCTCAGTGTACCACTCACCTTTTTCCCCTCATCATATCTGTGATTCACCTTGTCTTTCATAGACCTATCCTCTGACATGTCCACTTCTAGATAGTTGAATATATTCACTTCCTCCGTACTCTCTCTCTACAATCTGATATCAAATCTTTCATTACCTAAATTTTTTGTTATCCTCATCACTTTGCTCTTTCCTGTGTTCACTTTTAATTTCCTTCTTTTCCATACCCTTCTAAACTCTTCCATCAACCTCTGCAACTTCTCTTCAGAATCTTCCAAAAGCACAGTGTCATCTATTGACAACTTCCACTTTATTTTAGATTCTTTATCTATTAATTATAGTGATGCTAATTTTTTTTTAAATTGGCAAATTGGAGCCTATAAAGCCAACAAAAAATTTTAAGTTTCCTCTAAGCAGCATCAAAAAGTTTGACCTGAAGCTGGTATAATAAGGCATTCTTGAGTAATAACTCCAAAGCAAAATATTTTTTTTATTTAAATTAGAAAATTAAAACCAACATTGTACAAAATCAGTTGAAACCTTTCCTAAAACAAAACTTTTCAGTGTTTGAAAGTTTGAAGCCATTCCAGTGAGGTATTCATTAGTTATTGTACAGAAACCAGTGTTCTAATTTTTAAATGAAGATCGGCAAATTGTGGCTTACATATCGCAATCACAGTGCAAACCTTTCTTTGAATAAATAAGACTAGTGGTAAAAGTCTGTTGAAACTGATCAGAAGAGCCGATCTCCAGTTATCACACGCAAACCATTAGCTCCTGCTTTTGTAATTGTTAATAAATTAGTAAATTGGAACCTACACAGTCTAAAACTGCATCAGCATTTCAAACTTCAAGCTTTTCTGAAGAGGCATTTTTAATTATACAATATTTTCACGGATGAAACTACCATATAACAAGTTTAAAAATAAAATTAGCAAATTGGAACTTTAACATGAGTGTTAAAAGTTCGAAACAAATCAAAAGAGACCGTCTCAAGTTATTGCACAGAAACTAATAATGACATATTGGTTTGTAAAATTAATAGAAAGGCACCTGCACATCCCAATAACAATATGCATTTTCCTTTAGTAATGGCACATCAGTGTTGAAAATTTGAAGCCAGTAGGACGAGGCA